CGCCCAGACCGATCAGGAAGCCGACCAACGCAAGGACCGTAAAGCTCCAGATGCACGTGGGACTCTGGAAGACATGCAACTGCAAGGAGAAGCACGTGCGTCTCGAGGGTGGACACAACATGCGCGGCGTGGAGAACTAACTACCCGAGGAAGATGGCATTCCAGGCGGCGATCTCCATCGTGGACGATCCGCAGAACGAGGCCAGCTACGCGGTGGAAGAGATGACCCAGGAGGACCGCGACGAGACCGAGTACAATATGGCGTTGAAGGCGCCACTGGAGAAGTTCACCATCGACGAGGCCAAGTGGATAGAGAAGATACATATCCAGATGGGTCATCCCTCGAGCGAGCCGTTGGCAGCAGCATTGAAGGAGATGAGCGCGGACGACCGACTGATCAGCTGCGCGAGGATAGACATATGCGAGACCTGCCTCAAGCGGCAGAGGCTAAAGTCAGCGCGAGTCGCCCGCGCCCCTCGGGGTCGAGGATTCAACGACACCGCGGACATCGACGCGCCCCATGTGGCGTGGAAGGACATGCACAAGATGATATTCACCATGATGGACGAGAGCTCAAGGTTCGAGGTGGACACGGCGGTGAGGGACGAGAAGGCACGCGCCGAGATCAAGGCGCTCGAGAAGCGCTGGATCAATTGGGTCGGAGCGCCGGCCCAGATTCGAGCGGACCAGAGTGGCGCGCACGTGAGTGACGAGCTCATGGAGCGGTGCGACTGTCGTCGGATCAAGCTGCGGCTGATTCCAAGAGATGCTCATCATCGGCTTGGCATGCTCGAGCGGGATCATCAGGTGCGACGAGGGAGATAGAACGACATCATGAAGATCACCCCGTGGACAGCTTGAGGCTTGCGGCGCGCGCGACACGCGACGCGCGCAAACAGCTGCGCGGCGCAGAAGGCTTCACGCCATGGCAGCGGGCGCTAGGGAGGCAGCCCAGGAACCTGGGCAGCTTGGCGCGCGAGCCGACAACAACGGGCGACCTCGGCGACCGCGACGAGGAGTTCCACTGCAACCTGGCGCGCGGGCGCGACGCGGGCATGGCTTTTCTGACGGCGAACGCGAGAGCATTTCGAGAGGCGCTGGCGGCCATGAACGGGCCCTTCTCGATTGAGTTCCAGATCGGCGAGTGGGCGCACTTCTGGAGGCGCGACAATGGCGAGGACGACCTCATCAAGAGCAACTGGAATGGGCCGGCGATAATGACGCAGGTCGCATACACGGGTGATCCCGATAATATAAGACAGTCAGCGTTGCGGCGCGCGCATGGCAGCGCGTCCGCGCGGACGACGCGCGAGCTGTCACGAGCCGAACTGCCAGAGGAGCGACGGCAAAGAGATGAGGAAGAAGATGAAGGTCACGCATTACAACTGTCAACGGCCGAGCGAGTGCTAGAGAACTGAAGAACATCAGCGGATCCACGAAGTGCGCGGATCACGCGGGCGAAGTCATCGGCCAGCCGGAAGACTTACGAGGACGAACTTTTCCCTTTGGAGATGGCCAGGCAGGGCGTCGACGCGGACGGCCAGGTGGAAGCGACCGAGGCCCATCGGCAGGACGAGCACCACGAGGGCGAGCAGAGCGACGACGGCGGCGAAGGAGTACCCGAGGCGGCCGAGACGCAGGCGCCCACGGCGCCCGAGCCCCCACGCCCGGACATCTAGGCCGACGCGTCGCCGGACGCGGGAAGCCTGGAGGTGGGGCGCGAGACGACGCCAGCTGGATCAGGTCAAGATCAGGTCGAGATGGAGCAGACGACGAACCGGACCGCGGTTGAGAAGACAGGCCGTGGAGCACGCGGCCGAGAACGGCGACGAGTTGTTGGACGCCATCAACGCGGCCAGACGACTGGACGGACTACGGCCACCACCGAAGCAGACCGACGCGACGACGGCGGCCAGCGCCGCGGGCAGCAGCGATGGGCGATGAGCTGCTGCTACTGCACGAGGACGCGCACACAGTCTAACTGACCAACGCGGCCAGAGAGGATTCGGCGGTGGAGCCCAGGCTCAGCGTAGACGAGCGGAGCCAGTTCGACCAGGCGAAGACCAAGGCGCTGCAGCCATGCATCGAAAACCAAGCGTGGCAGGCAGTCAAGGAGAACGCGGCGGATGCTGGAGAAGCGCGCCCCGCGCGGTTCCTGTTGAAGTGGAAAATGAAGAACGGAGCGAAAGAGGCGAGCGCGAGAGTGATCCTTCAAGGCTTTCACTTGGAGGAGGTGGCCAGCACTCACGCGGAGAAATCGAGCCCTCTTATCGCGCGACTCACGAGGCCCCTCATTCTGTTCATTCTGCGCCAGCAAACTTGGAAGATGGTGGCAGCGGACGTGAAGAGTGCATTCCTTCAGGCGAAGGACATCAGAGAGCAAGGAGTTCTGATTCTCAGCAGGCCAACCAAAGACATACGACGCTGACTGAAAAAGTCGATGAGCCTGCAGGACGACGAGATATGGCAGATGCCGAAGCCCGCTGTCGGAGGCGCGCGAGCCCCTGGGCAGTGGAATCAGACGATCACGGAGGCCATGCGCGAGATAGGCATCCTGCAGCACGCGCTGGACAGGTGCTGTTTCCTGTCGTACCGCCTCGCGCTCGACGGGGGCGATCCGTTTCTGGTCTGGCAGGCGGACAACGACCGGCATTATGTGTTGGAAGGCGTGCTGGGGCTTCACGTGGACGACTTCATCGGCGGCGGCGGGAATTTCGAGCGCGAGGAGGACCTCTACAACAAGCAGGCGTCCGAGGGCACCTTCTGGGATCGGGTGTAGAGGCTCAGACAGAGGTACAAGTTCGGCAAGTGGGAGCTCTCGGACAGTACTGTTTCTGTGGCACGGAGAGCACGCAGTCGTTCTCACGCGACGAGATTGAGGTGAAGGCCAAGGCCTACATACACAAGGCGAAGCCGATCAGAGTCGAGAAGACGAGGAAGACACCCAGACGACCCGTGCACACCGAAGGAAGAATGGAGCCACGCAGAGGTCGGCGTCTCAGTGCATGGCCCAAGCAGCGGCGACAGCTTCGTTCGCGCAGGGCGACGTCAGGAAGACGACGGTCGGTAGCTTACTGGAGGTCAACAAGTTGCTGAGGTTCCTGAAGGCGAGTGGCGACGTGGGGATCCGCATCAAGTACGCGGGAGCTTGGAGCAAGCTGAGGCTTGGAGTTTACCGGGACGCGTCCTGGGCTACGAGGCCGACTGGCGAGTCGCAGGGCGGCTGCGTGATCTTCGTGATTGAAGGCGCTAGGGTCGACGAGCGACAGCCGACGCAGCTCGCGATCGTAGACTGAGCGAGCAAGAAGCTAGTGAGGATATGTCGGAGCAGGCGAAGCCCAGAGCGCAGCGAACGCAAGACGCGCCAGAGCTTGCGACGACGATGTTCACGACGATGCTTTCCCCAGCGACGCAGGTGACAGGCACGGAGATGTCGCCTGTATTGGGACGAAGCCCATGCATCACGGACTGCAAGGCGCTGTTCGACGCGGCGAACTCAGGCGGCAGCCGGAGGTTCGACGGAGCGCAGGACCAGGATCGAGGACCTGAAGGTCAACGAGAAGACGCGGGAGGTCGGAGGAGTGTGGAGATGGACCAACACGCATCAGCAGATGGCGGACGGTCTTACGAAGCTACAGGTGCGGCAGCAGTTTAAGGAGAAGCTGAGAAATGTGACCCACGCACTCAAGCCTTGCGCGACTTTCACGAAGATCAGCCAGGAAGAACGAGCTTAAGCCGAGAGAGAGAGAGAGAGAGAGAGAACCGGGCGAAGCGGCGGCGGACTTCGACGAGGCGAATCAGGCTGAAGACGCAGATGCCGAGGACGCCGACGAGCATGAGGACCAGCTGAGAGAACACGTTCGAGCGACGACTGGCAGTACCCGCACGGCAAGAAGGATTGCACTGATCGCGGCGGCTACGGAATTTGCCAGGGGCGAGAAGATCGAGAAGGTCGATCTGGAATTTCCATGGGTACTGGCTTCGCTGTTTGTTCTGATGGTGGCGATTATATCATGTTGTGAATGCGCACTGGCGGCTACGCGCTGGCTCAAGCACGCGACAGAGCAGAAGCTAATGGACGAGGTTCGCGTGTACCAAGATGCACGCACGATGGCTGAGCAGAGGGCCGATGCAGCGACGACGGAGCCGAGGGCGAACGACGTGAGCGCGACGGACAACAAGAAGCCCGCGCGGACGGCCAGCACCCAGAGCCAGTGCACGTACAGGCGTGATCTGACCACGCCGAGGTTTCAACATTTGTGAGAGTTTGATCAGACGGCACAATTGAGCGCCGAGTTTGAGGCTTGAGCAGATGATCAGATTGAGGATGGAAGATTACCCCCGGTGAGATATGACGGTACGAATGCGAGCACATGCCATATTTTGTGGGAGAAGGGCAAAAGAGTTTCTTTTCCCCTTGTGTCAATGGCACAGGATCCGTGCCAATGTAGTTTCGTTTATCATGTTATGGGATGCAGTTAAGCTGTGTTGAGTATGAATTGTTGTGATTTAGTGTACGTGTGCTGTCGCGCACGTGAGCTCGCACCGACGCCGTTATTGATCGAATACCGAGGGGCCCCTGAGTCAATCAAAACTACGAGCGAATCTCTTCGATCCCCCTTATATTTCTTGTTCTGTCCTATTTGGTGTTCTACTTCGTGTGAGAGAACCTCGGTGGTTCCAGAGGATAGCTACCGACAGCATGGGAAGGTTCGGAAACGAGTACCGCGCTGACCAGGTGCAGCAATTGGCGGACATCCCCGCACGGCGAAGCTTGCCTGCCCAAGCCCATCCCCCATCCATTTTCGCCATGATGATAAGGAATGTTGGAGTTATGATGTTGTTCGGCTCCCGGGGCCTTTTCTTGACCATGTGGACCGTCAGAAATCAATTCTGAATGAAAAGTTAGTCACAGGGAAAGCCCCAATGGCCCAAGACCTTTTCCACGAGAAGCAGTTTCCCTCGTGCCCAACATCCTCCTCTTGCGCCAACCTCCCGAGGTAGGCATCCACACGGGTCCCGTCGTCGCCGGAGCCTGGGGCTTACGCGGCACCGCGCGATCCCGGTCCGACCGCACAGGATGGGGGATTGGCCCAGGGGAGGGACATCGACCCCAAAATGCCCAGACACCGCCGATCGGGGCTTGGGTAACCTACCCTGCCCACGAACGCGCGTTCTCGCTATCGGGGGCCCGTCGGCGAGCTTCCAGGTCATTGTTTCTCTCCCTGGGCCAGTCCCCTCTTCATCTCCCTCCCCATCCACTCCAACTTCTTGCTCTTTGCCGCATCTTGAATGTAATCTGGCCGATGCAAGACACTCTTGGCAAGCACCTGCGCGGAGCTCTGAGGTCATGATACATGGTTGTCGTCGTCGAAAATGAAACGGTTTCTCATTCAATTCCCCGAGAGAGGGCAGCAGGTTTGGGTCCGTAGCGCGGATGTCTTGACCTGCCTCTTGAACATGCGGAGGTGCGCGTTTCAGAGGCAGGTGGGCTTGTGCCCAGTCTGTCCGGCGCGAACGCTGGTACACCACACGACCGCACCGCCGCCGTCGGTTGGTAAAATCGTTGTTCCGAGATCCCCCGAGATTCGGAAATATCGAGGTCGAGGTTGCTTGGTTTTCTCGGCCTCTGGAGCCCGCGTCCGGGCCCCAGGGCTATCATCAAAACACCTCAGGGTGAAATACCGGCCTTGGGAAAGGCGACGAGAGAGACCGCCCCGAGATTCGAAAAGATCGAGTCGTCCGAGTTTGGGGGGGGCGCAGCAATCGGCGGGTCACAGCGTTGCACGAAAGGTGCAGGCGCACGCTGGGGGGTGTCCGAGCAGAAGCGCCGGCCTGCGCGCACACACTCTGCTTGGGCACCCCCGCGAGCGATGTCGCATCCAGCGTCAGAGGCGGACCCACGGGATGCGGGTGTGCATGGCGCGCTCAGGATGCCATAAGATAGAGCACGAAATCCCGCCCAGTGGCCACTCCGGGAGCCGCGCGCGGTCCTTGCGTTGCACCAGCCGCGCAATGCGTGGTACGAGTTCGACGGAGCGTGGCCGACCCACCAAGCGCTTGGCTTGGCTTGACGGCGAGGTCGAGCTGAGCCGCGTCCGACTCCCGAAGTGACGTGTGCCAGCCGGGATGATGCCCGAGGTAACAGGCTCCAACGTTTGGGAGTATCTCTTGCCCCCCCGAGGGCACCGCAGGGAAGGGGGGAGGGAGGAGGAGGAGGAGGAGGAGGAGGAGGAGGAGGAGGAGGAGGAGGAGGAGGAGGAGACGGAGGAGGAGGAGGAGGAGGAGGAGGAGGAGGAGGAGGAGGAGGAGGAGGAGGGGCACGGAGTCCGACCGCCTGACTGGGAGGCCGACGCATTGCACCGTACACGTGCCGGCCGTCGTGTGTCGTCCGCGTGGCAGGCACTCTGGCGGCACGATGGAAATGCGTCGGCAAGGGGGGAACAGAAGCATGGAACAGAGAACGCCACAGCAAGGTTACTTGTTCTTGATATTTTGCGACAGTGCCAGAAGAGGGAATCATCATGGTGTTATGGCCGTTCACGGCAGGCTAGAAGCTCCATCCTGTCCCCGGAGTACAGGGCTTCAGCACGGTGGGACATATGATCGACGGACGAATTTGCACACTTAGGCGGACGGCCCCGAACGCAACAATACCAGTCCAAAGACGGTCCGCGTGGCGTTCGTCTTGGCGAAGCAGTTCTCCCCCAGAGGGGAATCTCTACTTTCAGGATGGGCCGATCGCCCGATAGGTCGTTAAGGCCCCGCCGATCGCTGGCGTGTCTGCGAGTCTCTAGTCGTCCATTTGGGGTGCTGGGCTTCTAGGTCCGCGGTCCACGGGGGCAGCGCCCATCGATAGGACGGGAGCGACAAGTTATTCGATTTCAAGACCAGATCGGACTCGGCTGATCAGGAGCCCACAAGAGCCGGATGTTGTCAAACCGATCGGCGCGCCTTGCCTCAGCACTCGAGTTCGCCATGCACCCAGGTGGTGGGCGGGAAGTTGCCGCGGTTCCGCCTGTTTGGGGACACCGTCAACATGGCGGCGCGCATGATGCAGAAGGGCGTCGCGGGCCAGGTGCAGTTCGGGGAGGATCCGCGGCACGCTTCTGCCACCGCCGTTGCTGCTGCTTCTGCCGTTGCGTCTGCTACAGGTGCCGCCGAGCCTCTGCCTCCTCCGATGCCTCGGGGGCCGCAGCGCCACGGCTCTGCGCTCTCCTGCCGTCCCCCTCCCCGTCTCCGCTCCGCTCCGCCCCTCGTCCCCTCCCTTCCCCTCCCTGCCCACCACCCCCTCGTCGCTTGACGCCCCTGTTGGGTCAGCCCGAAGAGCTCGGGCGGGACGCGCAAAAGACATACGAGTGCTAGCCCTCATCCCCCTTTCCACTCCGCCCCTCATCCCCATCCCTTCCCCTCCCTGTCCATGCCCCTCCTCGCACTCCCCCCCCCCCCGAGACCGTGGACTCCTCGAGCTGTTCTCCCTCCGCGGTCAGGGAAGAAGCGGGCGGCAGTGTGATGCATCGTGGGTCATTTCGGATCATCGGATCCGTCACGCATCGACCCAGCTCGATCGATCACGTCCAACGGGTGGTCGAAAGTCAGAGCTCGAGCTCGAGTCATGGTCGATCCACGGCTTCCAGTGTCTTTCGAGAAGCCAGATGTCGAGGACGAAGAAGAGGGGAAGCGGAGAGTAATAATCCGAAAGAGGTGAGAGGGGGAGAGGAAGACTCGGAGATCCAAGTCATCATGTCCAACGTAAGAAAGGAGGCACCAGCCCAGCTTGTCCAGAGCGCAGAATCGATTGTTCGCCCCACCCCATACCCCTTCCACCCACGATCCATCGAGGGCAGACCAGAAAGCGGCTGGGGAGCTAAGTAGATAAAGGCAAAGGTTGTTTGGTTCCACAGATTGACCAGGTCGTTCGACAATCACGGGCATGCCGAGTTCGGAATCGGTCCACAACCGAAGTTGATGGTAAACTTACATTCTGGGCAATGTCTATCCCACCCTCGCCGTTTTTTAGAAGGTAATGGCCCCGCGCCGCCAATGAGCAGTCAGTCGCGGTGCTAGTCCCATTCAGCCCAGCATGCGTGCCAAAATGCACGCCAAACCGTGATCTTTCACGTGCATGCAGCTTTCAAGTTTGACACACACACACACAAACAAACAAACAAACAAACAAACAAACAAACAAACAAACGCACACACACACACACACACACACACACACACACACACAGACACACACGCGCGCGCGCACGCGCGCACACACACACATACATACACACACTTTTGCGTCGGCGGCTAGGCAGAGTGACTGCGCTGGCGGAAGAGCAAAGTGTTGGACGAACACTTGCGAATTAAGCCGCAGTGCACGGGGGGAGAGGAGGAACGCCCGGCGACGGCGCGAGGGAGGAAGAGGCCAGGCCCGCTCACAGCGGGGCCGGGCGGCGGCGGGGGGCGGCGCCGGGGGAGGGGCCCAGCGGCGGCGGGGCGGCAGCTGGGAGGTAGGCCGGCCCGGCGGCAGCCGGAGGCGGGCGTCCAGGGGGCAGCAGTGCCCAGCGCAGGCTGGAGACGAGGGGGATAGCCAGAAAGAAGATGTGCCGAGGGTGCCGAGGTCACAAGTGACCTGCGAGGCAACCCGGGGACGGCCAGTGGGGGCCACCTCAAGGGCGAGGGGCTGGCGAAGGGGGGAAGGCCGGGGCAGGAGTCGAGGCGGCGCCCGGGGGGGAAGCTGCCCGGCGCAAGCTGAAGCCGAGAAGCAAGCGAAAGCAGAGGCCGAAGGTGCCGAGGTCTCAGGTGACCTACGAGGCAGCCCAGGGGCAGGTAGAGCGAAACCACCTCGACGGGGAGGGGTCGGCCTGAAGACCAGGCAAGGCGGGGCGGGCGGAGGGGGGCGCCAGCGGCAGGGCCAGTCGGGCCACGAGCCGGGCGGGGGAGGCAGGAGGGGCACAGTGTGAGCAACAGCCCGGATGGGAGACCGAGCAGTGCGCCAGGAGAACGTAGACCGCCCGGCAGGGAGCCTGGGGGCGCAGCAGAGCTGCCCAGCCGGCCAAGACAGGCAAGTTGAAGCAGTGCCAGGGACGAGCAGAGCGCGGCAAGACGCGGAGCCCGGTCCAACCCCTGGCGGGAGGCGGGCGGAAAGGCACCCGGCGGAGGCAGCGGGCGGAGGGCGGAGCGGCACCAAGAGCCTGCAGAGGCCAGCGCACCGAGGAGCCGAGGCCAAGCGAGGCATGCGGGGCGGCCGGCGGCGGCGAGGGCGGGCGCTTCGGCCCATGGGGGGCAGAGGCGAGGCTGGAAGGGGAGAGCGCGGGGGGGGCGGGCGCCTCCCGTGGAGGAGCAAGGCGAGGCCAGGCGGCAAGACCAGCCTATGCCCAGCCCAGGCCGGCAAGGCCAGCCTGGTGCCCAGCCCAGGGACTGCCGGCGAGGCGGCCAGCAGGCTGCCCTATAGAGCAGGGAGGGTGCGCGCATATTGGGCGAGGACCCAGGAGTGCTGAGTGGGTCGGGCTGCGGTGGGGAAGCAGGCTTAGGCGACGGCGGCAGCGACAACTCCGAGGCTGCGTGGACAGAGCTTGCGATGCTCCCGAAATGCGTCCTGCGCCCTCACACCCGCGGCGGCCGAGGCAGCAGCGCAGCCGGCGAAGCGCAGACCAAGGCGCTGTGCCGGCGCTGGCCGGCCACCGGGTAGGGCAAGGGGAGATGCAGGTGGCTCCGGCGAAGCCCGGGGCCAGCGCACCCGAGGGCTGCCAAGGCAGAGAGTGAGCCAGAGTGGCGAGGAGAGCCAGTCGCGGGGATGCTTCGTGGGTCTGTAGTCGACCAGGCAACGCCATGGGGGGAGCGCCCAGACTGGGCAAAGGCGGGAACGCACCGAACTGGTGCATGGAATTGTGGCAAGCGGGCCGGCCGTGGGGAGGCGGGCCAAGTGGGGGGCAGCTCATGCGCACAGGGGCAAGGCCCAGCCCTGGGGGCACATGTGTGCCGTCGGGGGGGCCAGCATTGAGCAGTTTAGTGTCTGCGGTTGGCATTGGTCGCTTGCCCAGTAGCGACTAGAGGACCCCGGGCATCGCTGCTTAGACTAGTCGTTGCTGGGCCAGGTGGAGTCTGCAGGCCTCTTGCCCTTGCCGTAGGGGGCAGGGCCTTTTCCTTTGCCTTTTTCACTCATGGAAGAGCGGCTCCTTTTCTCCATCTCTTGGTCCCAGGCGCAGTGCCAGTTGACATGGATGCCCTTGTTCCAGCAGAGGTTGCGGATGTCAAAGTTGGCTTGGACAAGCTGACAAACAAATTCCTCGCTGGAGTCCTCGTCCAGGACTTTCGGGTCCCGGATGGATCCAGGGCGCCCTGCTCTGTGGTCACAGACGGCATTCCAGCCGATGACTAGCATCGGGCCGCATTCCCGCTTAAGGCGGCTGACGACCTCGTGCCAGTACTCCCTCAAGCTGTCGCTGCAATTCCAGACCGGATGCAAGTTGATGGCCTGGCGTCGTCTGTTATGCAGCCGGTCGGTGGGGTCCCAGTGGGGAGTACACCTGCCCACCAGGACTGCAGTCCGGTGGGAGCGGTCATGCGGAGGCCGGGGGCGATCGCCTCTGCGGGGGGTGCCAGCATCTCCATGCCTTGGCGCGTGAGGATTGGGCAGGGTGTTGAAGAGTCTTGCCAGCGGGCGCGTCGGAGGTGTCTGCCCGTGTGCAGCCATCAGACTGCTCCGCCTCGAGTGCCTACGCCCGCTCTGGGCTGGCGCCCCGATGCTCGACAACTGCCGCGAGGGCTGGGCGCCGCGTGGGCTGGGCGGGGCGGCTCCCCCACCCTGCAGGGCTGGGCTTGCAGGCGTGCGCGGCTCGGGGGACGGGCTCCTCCCTCTCCTCCTCCTCCCTCCTCCTCCTCCCTCCTCCTCCTCCTCCTCCTCCTCCTCCTCCTCCTCCTCCTCCTCCCTCTCCTCCTCCTCCTCCTCCTCCTCCTCCTCCTCCTCCTCCTCCTCCTCCTCCTCCTCCTCCTCCTCCTCCTCCTCCTCCTCCTCCTCCTCCAGTCAGGGTCCTCGCTGCGCGGCGGTGTGGGTGGGGTTGGGGAGGCGTCTGGAGAAGCGGCTCAGCCTCAGAGGCACGCACCCTGGCGCGTCCCTGGAGTTCGCGCGCAGGTGACCCGGCGGCGCTCCCACGCGCGGCGGTACCAGCCACTTGTGGGGCAGGTGGCGGGGGGCTGTGGGCCCGAGCCGGACTGTTTGGGCGGGGGCTGGTCGGGACGGGGGGCAGCGTTGGTGGGGTGGCAGGTGTCCCAGCGGGCAGAACGGCTCCACTAGAGGCGGAGGTTCCTTCGTACAGGCCTACGTGCGATCTTGTTGTGGACAGAGCGTTGTCGTCTCTGGGCGTTCGTCGGGTCGTTTCTGGCTAGCTGGGGAGCACGCAAGTCGTGAATGTTCACAGACTCTACGTAGCCAAGCAGCACGTCCTGATTGTACCGGGCGGGATATCGTCCTTTCTAGTTCACGTGTCGGTCGTGGGTTTGCTTGTCCTTGTCCCAGGAGGCTGCCAAGCTCTGGTCCCCAGTGGGTGTGGAGTGGCACGGCTGGCTGTGTAGGTAGCTAACGAGGTGGGCTGGTGCAGCGCGTTTGCCATCCCATTCGATACCCCTCGGGATCCCCGACTGCGGGATGGTGACGCCGTAGATGCTGGTGAGGAGCTCCTTGCATAGGGCCTCGGTCCACGCTCTGGGGTCACGCAGAATCCCTGTTTGTATGAGGGCAGCATTGCGTATTTTTCGCACGCGCAGCGCTATGAATCTCAGCTTTGTCCGTAGCCCGCACATGCAAGGTACCGGTCGACCTGTGTCCGCTTCCCTGCAGGGGGCCCGTGCCAGAAGCACAGTTGAAATTTGAAGCTAAACGCCAATCCATGCCCGCGGCGAGCGCGCCAGCGGCAGGGAAGAGGACGGCCGCCAGTCGCGTCTGTCCCAACAGCGCGCGCGCCGGCGGCATGGACGCGGACGGCAGCCGCCGGGGAGAGGAGGGAGCAGGGGGAGGAGGAGGAGAATATAAGAAGAAGAAGAAGAAGAAGAAGATAATCAGCCTGTCAAGCGTGGCGCGCTCTGGGTTCGCACCAGGCG